CCCCGCCGCCACTGCTGCATTTCTGTTTTCCTGCTAACTGATGCTCTGATGTTCCATCTGATTCATGGACGACCCATTTCTTTAAAAGGAAGCGAAGACTAATCCTGGCGATTACCATATTCGGGTCAGGGACCTCTGCTTGTTCCTAGCAGATGAGTTTAAGAGGATTGCAGCTGGGCTGCTTCCCCACACACTGGGTGCTGGGTCCGCTTGTCTCCAGGAACGAGGGAGGGACAAGGGACCTTGTCTCCTGGGGGCCAATCCAGCATGAGCTGAGTCCTCTCGGGGCCTTCGGACCTCAGCCAGGAAAGGAAAGGAGGAGAGACGAGAGGAGGGCTGCAGGGCAGGGAGGGCCTCTTCCCCTGCTTCTCTTCTTCAGAGCCCCCTTGTCTAGGCCACCTCTGGGATCTTCCCCAACATGCCTGGCTGCTGTCCTCACATAAGTCCAGGGGGTAACTCACACCCAGGGAGTCTCAGACATTTGTCCTCTTCCCTGGCACCTTACCTGGGGGCGTCTCCATTGTTGTGAGTGTGACAACCATGGACAGGCAGATTCATGGCTGCCCACCAGTGGGTCTATTTCTTGCTTTACCCCATGCTCCACCCACTGCCCCTCCCTACACCAGCCCTGGACATACTTCCTCAGTGGCCCCTGTCCCTTCTTCTGAACACCCAAATTCTCCTCCCTTTACTTTATAGGGGACCAGCGTGGCCCCCTATAAAGTAAAGCTGCTTCTGCAGCACCCGGGGGCTTGGGCCTCTGGGACCACCTATGCCGGCCAGCTTTGACTCTGCCTTCCAAAGTGCCTATTCTGGAGGGCCTTGGTCCATGGAGATGACCAGAGCCTGCCAGAAGCCACCTCCCCATTCACCCCAGGACAGGGCTTCCCTGCCCCAAAGCCCCAACCTGGGGTGTTGTGGGGAATGTGGACGCCTTGGCCATGGGGTCTAGATGCAGACAAGGGGACACTGAGACCTCAAGCCTCAGGGCTGATGGACTCAGTGGCCACAGGACTTCAGCTTAAGGAGTGTTTCTGTAACCACCGGGCTGATGGACCCAAAGCTTGGTGCGGCCCTCTACCCAAAGTGAAGATGGGCAGCTCCCAGGTGGGCAGGCGGCAGGGCGGGGAGCTTGCTCCCTGCACAGAACCAGCCTTTGCCCTGGACCAGAGGTCTCTGGGGGCCTGACTACCCGAGCTGGCTCTTAGAGCCCTGAGCACAGGTGCAGGAGACCACATGCTCACAGCGGCCTCCCGGGCTCTGGAGGCTCACCTCAGTCACGTCCCTGACGTTCACCATCTTCTTGGTCTGAGCCACGTGGCCCACAACCCCGATGTCCAGTGGAAAGACGATCTCGGAGTCAGGGGCCACCAGGCAGTCCTCCAGGACACTGTCCAGCTGCACGCTGAAGAGCCGCGTGGCTAGCTCGGCCACCCCGTTCCGCTGGCGGTACAGGAAGAGGCTGCAGCGGTCGGCCTGCAGGATGGCGCACAGGCGCCGCAGGGTCTTGAAGAGCACCTGCTCCATGTTGACGCTCTCCTGCATGTCCTGCACCAGCTCGAACAGGGCGGCGCTCTCCTCCACCTGGCACAGCTCGCGGAGGCTGCCGCAGTCAGCCGGAAGTCCGTCTTCGCAGGCACTGAGCATGTTCTCAGGGCTCAGCCTCTTCCCAAAGTACCAGTGCGTGAAGCTGGGGTTCTCGTCGAGGAACTGCCGCACCTGTTCCTCGCTGAGGCTCATGGTGTACACTGCCTGTCCCCCAGAGGCTGCTGCCCCCAGGTGCACATGGACTCCTAGCAGACGCTGTCATCAGCAAAGCCTTTCTTAGTGACGATTAGGGAGCCTGGGAGGAAAGCTCAGCTGACTCACGCTCACGGGAAGGGTGCCCGTGCCGCCCTCTCCCTCAGACCCCAGACTTCCCACCTTCCCCTGGGAAATTCAGACTCCCCGGAGCAGGGAACTGAGGAGCTACCCCCCTGCAGGGATCATGGGTGACTGGTCGGGGGGAGACATTTGGCTTCTGGGGGAGCAGGCCTGGAGACCTAATCCCCTGAGAGAGGTCATCCCACGAACCCCATGACTCTTTCTGACGAGCCAGGTGGACAGTGGCTTTTCTGACTCCCTTGCATATAAAAATACTAATTTCTACTTTCTAGGCTCCTTTATTTATGCTTCTGGATCTTTTCCTTACACAGCCCTCAGCTACACTGTGCGCAATGCTGTGATTCGCAGATGAGGAAACCAGGTTGTTCTGAGTGTCCATGTCGCAGGTAGGACCCCTGTGCCCAGGCAGCAGCAGGTGTGTCCAGTAGGCCTTGACAGCCTGCCCTGAGTGACGTGCAAGTATTAACGTCTTTCTGAGTCACAACGTGAAAGAAAGGATTGGACTAGGGCTGGAGTCCTCATCCCAGGTCTTTCTGACCGTCCTGCACAGCTGAGACTGTGCAGCTGCATGTGCACTGCACCACGCATGCGTTGCATGGTGTGCGTGCATGGTTGTGATGCTTTGCCTGGTGTGCGTGCCGGGGTGTGCCCATGGATGGCAGGAGGGTGAGGAGAGGAGATATGTCCATGGCGTGGACCGGCCCAGAGCCCTGGGCCCATCAGGTCACTCAGCAGAGGCCCGTGAGCACCTGGCATTCTGGGCCCACCCTCTGAATCCATGGCCAGGAGCAGAGCTGCAAAGCCTCGTCCTCAGAGAAGGAAGCCAGTATTTTGTTTGGAAGGATTTCTAAGTCTTCCTGTCCCAGGACGAGGAATTACAAGCCAGAGGGAAACACCTAAGTTGTTTATTTTTTTTTAATTTTATTATTTCATTTGCCTCTGTCTATACTGGCACGATACTTGCCCCCAGGATTCAGGGTTTGTGTGTGGTTCTGACTTTTACTGCATTCAGTTGATAAAAATGTGTGTGCGTGTGTAAGAGTGTGTACATGAGGTTGTCGGAAAAGTCATGATGCATTTTTGCGTAGAAAAACAGAAAACTACATCATGACTTTCCAACAACCTAATACATGTACATACGAGTGTGTGTATGGAGCGTGAGTGTGTACGAATGCACATGTGAGTGAGCAGTGTGTGGCTGTGTTTGCGTGTGAGTGTGCAGTGTGTGGGCGTGCACATGTGCACATGTGTGTGCGTGCACAGGCCCAGCGTGCTTGCAGGCTTAGATTCTCTCAGGGAAGCTTGCGCGTGGCCACGGGCTGGCACCGCTGCTGCTGCCCCAGCTTGGGAGGCTGATCCGACCGGCAGCAGCTGCACTGTCCACAATGGGCCCAGCTGGCCGAGTGCGGGGCGCGTGCCCTTGTGCTGTGATGTCTCTGCTCTGCTTAGTCATGCAGTAGCTTCTTTTCAGGGATCTGCTTGGAGGTCTCCCCCTTTCCCTATAAATAGTGAGCTCTGACTGGAGCTGGGGGAGTGGGGATGCGGGATGGGGCAGGTGCTGTGGGTGGGCCAGGGCTGTAGGTCACCTGCTCTGCATTCAGTCCCAGAGCAGCTCCCAGAGCAGCCCGGTGTGTTGCCAGCGCCCAGAGTGCGCCTGAATGTGAGGGAAACACCAGAGGTGCCTCTGGCTGCTCTGTCCCAGGGCAGGCCTCTGAGGGACACTGTGTGACTCCTCAGGTTGTGCCACAGGAAGGTCCACGTTCCCGCAGCCCCTCCCTCCCTGGCTTCTTCCACTGCTGCCCTGCCCCTATGGTTCATGACCCCAGTGTATCTGGGGACCTACCCACCACCTCTGCTCACCCTGCCTCTCTCTGTCCCATGCTCCCCTCACTCCTGTTCCCCCTCTTCAGCCCAACCTCTCCCTTTTCTGGCAGGCAGCCTTTTTCTCCAGGCTGAGGAGTTCACCTCGCCTTTACTCACCTGCATGGGAACCGAGGGGATCGCCATGAGGTAAGCCCAGGGCTGGGGCAACCCCGGGCCAGGCCAGGAAGCCGTGGTGGGAGGGGGGTCCATGGGAGCAGTCAGGGACAGGGAGGCGGATGGTCTTGGGGCTAGAGGAGAGGGTGAGGCTGCGCTCTGTGCCCTCCACCTCCTCACTCTAATGCCAGTGCGCGCCCAGCTTCCAGTTGCTTTACCAGCAGTTTCTCCTGCTCCTGGAGCCCATGATGCTCGCAGGTGTGGAGACCCAGGGATGTGAGGAACTCAACCCCTCGGGAGGGGGTCCCCCAGGACGATGGGAAGCTGAGCAAGTGCCCCAGTGTCCTCACCTGCCCGGCCCAGAGGCAGCTGCCCAGTGACTGCTCCATTGACCTTGCCCCTCCCCTATGGGTGAGGCCTGGGGCCCTGCTGGGGCAGACCCGGCTCAGAGGTAAGGATACACCTGGAGGTGCACCTGTGAGTACGACAGCGCACTCTCCGGGGGACTTCTCCATACACGCACCTGGGGGGTGTTTGAGGAGAATAGAATTACTCCTTTACTGGGCTCTGATTAATTTTGCCTCATCATAATGTGGAGCTTTAAAATTAGCAAGTACACCCTGGGAGTCATTTAGAACAAGGAATTTGTCATCAAATAGCTATCACAGGAAGAGAATTCTAGTTTCTTGTACCAAACTGTGGGAAAGATGCAATTATACAAGGAGCAATATGCTCTGAAATGAAAATTAACCAGTCAAAAGGAATGGTGAGAGATGAAAGTGGAGAGCAAATTAGAGCTCACAATCAGGAATTTCATCAGATTGGTGATGCAGAGAAACGAACAGCCCCATTAGGCCCTCACACTCACACGGAGTGAGGACAGGAGAGGAGATTGACCAGAAAGGACAGGGTGGGGTGGGAGTGTCTGGGAACCCTGGTGCCAGGTGAGGCCTGGTGTGGACCCTCAGCCTGCATCCGTCCTCTGCTTACTGACGCCTCTGACCTCAGGGGTGTCTCCCTGGTTCTTTTCTTTTTCTTTCTTTTTTTTGGGGGGGGGAGAGATTTTTGCTATAAGGCGCATGTGGTCTGAAAGACAGAGAGACAGAGAGACAGAAAGCGAGAAATCACCCCCCAGGGGGGATGGCCACGCCGCAATCCCTTCTCCTTCATTCTCCTCTCGGGCACGCACACCTGGCGTGAGTTAAAGCCACTGGGTCCGGGACTCGAACTGCAGTCGACCACATGGGAGTCCAGCGACATAGCCATTATGCCAGTCTCCCTGGTTCTTTAGTCCCATCTTTTTTTCCTGGCAAACAAGGATCTTTCTCTGCGTGTGTGTGTGTAAGTTTTGTTATAGTATACACACTTGCAAGTATACACACCTGCCAGAGAGAAAGAGAGAGAGAGAGATAAAGTGAGAAATCACGCCTTGAGGGGATGGTCGTGTCACATGCACATGCACCCTGTGTGTTTTTCATGCTGCTGGGTCTGGGACTTGAACCACACAGTCTGCTATGTGGGACCGAGCTGCCTTAACACCACGCCAGCAGCTGGCCCACTGCGTTTTTTTTTTTGGGTGGAAAATGGTGCGTAAAGTGAGCAGCAGATGCTAGAGCACCTCAGTGGACCTCAGAGGCTGCCTGGTGGAGAGACAGAGAAAGGCCTGTGAGAACCAGGCAGGGCTGGGGTGGGGGTGGGGCTGAGACCTGAAGCTTGAGCAGAATCGAAGTTGGGCCCTTGGGCCAAGGGAGAGCGCGTCCTGTGCCCCGGGAGCCAGTTCCTCCGCACTCACGTTGTCGGTGTGTCTTCTCTGTGGGACAGTCTCAGCCCCTCCAGATGTTGGAGAGCAGCACTTTGTCCCAGTGGACCCGAACCCCGACCCTGAGGGGACGTGCAGACCAGACCACGCAGCTCTGCTGGGGGGGCCATCCTGGAGAGGGGTGACCAGCCAGCAGCTGAGGGGGTTTGGAGCAAAGCAGTGGCGCCAGGAAGAACCGCAGCTGTGCCTCGTTCCCTCTCCTGCCAGGCCAGACGTGGCCGAGCGTTTGCCCTTGCCCAGAATGTCCTTATGGGGGTGCTGTGAGGCAGGAGACAGGACGCGTGTCCCTCCGACACCTGGAAATCCCTGCACCTGGCATGGGAGCCCACCCCAGCAGCAGGACTTCCTGCTCTGCAAACACCCACTCTCTGCTTTTTGGTAGGGGTCATAGGGCTCCCCTATGCCCCCTAAAGGGAACTATTTGTTGCGTTTTAGGTTCTGGGGGTACAATACTGAAACTCTGGACACATTCCATCCATAAAAGACTCCCTGTTCTCATGTGGCCTATAATGGCGGTGACCGACATTTATTTAAGAGTCTCACACATTAGTGCAAATCACTCCACAGGCCCAGGGCCGGGCCTGAGATCCTAGTGTCCGGGGCATCCCTGTGTACCTGGTGGTCAGAGAGAGTGGAGTGGACAGAGGGGGTGGTTTGAAAATCATTCTGGGTGCATGTGTGTGCGTACCCAAGATTCCAGAAGGAGAATGGAGGAGAAGGAATTGCAGTGTGGCCATCTCCCCTGGGGGACATTTCTCACTTCCCCACTCACTGTCTCTGTCTCCCTGTCTCTCTCTCTGGTGAGTGCATGTATCCTATGGCAGAAACCTCTAAAATATAAAAAATTAAAAGTATATATGCAGAAGATCATGCCAGGTGTGTGAGTATTTGTGCCCAAAATTCCAGGAGGAGAAGGGACTATGATGGGGCCATCCCCCAGGGGGTGATAGCTCACTTTCCCTCTCTCTGTCTCTCTGTATCTCTCTGGCAAGCACACTCACCCCATGGCATAACCCTAAAAATAAATAAATAAATAAATTCTAGAAAGCTTGGAAAACAC